AATTCTTGAAGCTCACTCATGTTTTTTTTGTTTTGTTGTTTAATATCCCTCTAGATAATAATTCACTCAATGGAGAAGCCACCATTTCCTGTGGAGGGCTGCAAAAATAAAAACCTATACTCAACACTCAGGGACATTGAGCAGTGAGGATTCTTTTGTGCCATTATCTACTGCGACATAGGACCTCCGATCAGTTTAAAATGTGTCATCCCAAAAGGATCCGTCTCCGTGTCCCGCAGTGGATTCTAATCGGCGAAGTAAGGATCAGCCCCTTACTCCGCGACTATAGAGCAGAGGCTCTAAAACCACTGCGCCTCGCGGGCACTCTTATCTTCAACCTCAGACTTCTCTCAGATCTCCATCAACCATCTTGAATGTTGTAAAAGGATTTTTGTGTGTATATTGAGGCTCTGCTTCATAACCGCTTTCCAATCAGAGGCACTAGGGTCTCTTGAACCCTCGATGAGAACAGCCGATGGAACACATTGAAATGTAATTTATAATTAAGTATCAATCTTGGAATAAAATTTATCAATAATTATCGGATACCATTCTAAGAGCGTAAAAAGCATTAACTACAAGAAATAATATCTGAAGTGAGCGACAAAAAATCGACGGGGTAAATCGAAGCTTTTTACAATGCTTGGTTATGTAGCTCTCTGCTTTATTTGTCCGAATGTTCTCAATCAGAGAGCTACAGTTCTGCAGCTATGCTCGTGTGTGTATGGTATTTCATAGGTAAATAATTTCAGTCTTTGTGAGATTTTTGTAAATTGTAGAGACTTTACGTTAAATATAATTTAATGTTAAAAGAAATATCAAAGAAAATTTTGACATAATTGAAAATCAATTTTTTTCTCTGCTCCCTTTCCTTTCAAAACGATACTACGTCACTTAGGTAACTTACTCAGCATATTAAATTAACTCCGTCAGTTTTGTATATGAAAATATCATTAATCAGAGTTATTGCTCCTCGAATACCTACTGAAGTTTTTTAATCCTGAATTCCTTTGAACAGTCCCGCCTTGAAGCATGCTCACATTTCCTTTGGCTCTTATATTTTAGCATTATTAAGTATCCATTTGCATTAAAAAAATTCTTTTAAAACCCGAATGATTATTTCTTGCTCAAAAGATACTTGTAAATTAATTAAACGCATAATTTCAAACTAAGGAAGATTTTAATGCAGTAAAGAAATTATATGCAACACATAACGTACATTTATTAGCAGAAATAACGAGTTGCAATTCTGGCATTTTTAAAAAAAAATCTAGGGTACATGTATTCATAGGAGTCCGCATTTATAGCTCTCTCCTACCAGAATGGAAGAGAATCGTACATTTTGGCTGTGGTTTATGACGATGCATCAGAGGTTACTGGACTTCTTTCTCTCTCACATTCTTTTTAAATTAAGTACTGAATCTTTTATGAATAGTTGCTAAATTTGCCTCTTCCTAAAATGTCATTAATTTAATTCATTAAAACACTTGGCTATTAACAAACCATCTTATATTTTACAATTTCACAAAAAAATATTAGAAGTATTTATAAGATGAAAGTTTTCCCATTTCTCAACAAGTATCTAAGATGTAGTAAGACCAAAAAAAATCTGATATTTCTATTTCTCTAACTTATTTTTTAGTTCTCTGCTGGCAGTATGTAAAATAATTCTGAGTTGGATAGGTAAATGGAGAAAGGAAAGGTTTCTGTCATTTAAAAGATGAAGAAAGAAAAAAAGTAGCATTTCCTGAATTTAACGACAACCTTTTATTACATGCTATTAATTTTTATGACTTACCCCCAAATAGATTGTCATATTGTGATTGCTTCTAATAAAATATTGAATGCTCATTACACAAGGCGTTATGTGAGAGTTACTCCTGCAAGTTAATAATTATTTAACATGAAATAACGATTTTACGAGGACAACACCTTGTAATGATCTTCTGAATAAAGAATTAAATTTTATGACATGTTTCATAAAAATTCCAATTTCCAATTTTTTAAAAAAATTTTCTAAAAAATAAAAAGATTACCTTCTCATGAACTACCATGGGATGAGCAAGAAAATTTGCATTTTTATAAGATTGAGGTAAAAATAAAATATTGAATCTTTTTTTTATAAAAAAAGATCGCATAATGAAAAAAAAATATGTGCCAAGTCATGATCTGCAGCAGAAAAATAATGTTCAAATAAGATACGAACTAAAACGCCATGTTACAAGGCACTTTGAAAAATTATGCAATTTGAATTTTCTCAAAATGCCTTAAATGGACAACGTTAATAACACTTTGATAAAAAATATATTTCTTTTCAAAGCGCAAAATGTACTGCATTTAATCGCAAAATTATTGCATTTAAACATAACAGATTGCGTTTAAATGCAAGGTCAACATTGATTATTATTGTGATTAAGAGCAGTGGATTGTGTTTAAACGCAATATATTGTAATTATTGCGATTAAACACAATAAGAATATTTCTTTCTCTAAACTGGCCTTAATTCCGTATTTAACGCCCTTGAAAATTTTCAAAGTGTGTTAATTTTGTCCCAATTTTAACGCACGTTGTATTTTTTTCCAAAGCGCATAATATTTAATGTACAACACTTCACACCTGTATATATATATATATATACGGATGGAAATTTATATAAAGCACTAAAAATGACCAACGACACGAACAATAAAAATTGACAATTTTTATTGTTCGTGTCGTTGGTCATTTTTAGTGCTTTATATATATATATATATATATATATATATATATATATATATATATATATATATATATATATTTTATATATATATAAATTTTTCATGGAGCCCTTACGCGCTTCATATAAAATATATCTGCGTAAAGCGTGTCATTTCATGTCGTCAAGAATTCTCAGAAATCATATTCATCTCTTAAAAATCCAGGATTTGTTTTGATCACGAGAGAATGTACATCGTTCCAGGAAATATAACTAATATGATTTATTTATCCTCTTTAAAAGAGCACTGGGTGTATGAGAACATAGGACAACATATTCATTTATCTCTTATATAAAGCAAATGCTTTACTGAAGCCTTGTATAAGTATATATATATACATAATTTACAACAGGATTATAGATCTAAAGCTGTCAATGCCACATCTAGCTATAAATTCAAACACCGTAAATTACAATGAATCAGCAATGAAATATTTAAACAATTCACAGTGATATATAAACCTTTGGAAATGAAAAATACTGGATAGAGAAATAAAATGAGTTCTAGCGTAAAATTCAATTCTTTTGACGATAGATATGTCCACACAACTGATGAGCAACCAACGATTATTGCTGTCTCATCTGGAATAGCAACCAAAAAGATTGCATTAATCTTTGGTGCTATTGTCGTTGTTGGAATCATTGCTACAGTTGGGGTTGTTCTTGGTGTCGTTATTCTGAAGAAAGGTAATAATATGAAATATGTAATACATACTTTTCATCATATACAACGTAAATATTTATCAACGCTCATTTCAATTTGGATGATTTTATGGAAATGTTACATCTAAAATAAATCAAAGTTTTCATGTATATACAAAAAATATTTAATATTTTAAATAAATAAATAGAAAAACAAATCATTCATAGTTGATAATACTCGAAAAATCATTTGCAAATTATGTGTTTATATTAATATAAAAATATGTATATATAATAATATCAACTTGTGCAGAGGACCGCTTAGCTAGGGTTTTATACTAAGGGTAATATGTTCCCAGATTTTCCTGGATTAACTATATATTTATCAAGGTCTCCTGGCGGATTTGATCGATTGACAGGGATCGATGCTTACTCCTCCTAAGGAACTCATTCCTCCTGTCATGTTTCCACTGGTCTGGGTGCTTGTCTTGTCTAAGATCCATATGATCTACAGGATTTCTGTGATTGGTTTCTGTCCATCTATTCTGTCCGTCTATTCGTTCTTCCGTCTTTATCTGTGTTTCTGTATGTCTGTAATACTTTAGTTTCCTGGCAATTTCCCGAAAAGCCTTTGAGCTTTTGCAATGACATAAAAAAATAAACTAACGCGCTATGACCTGTGGAAGACCTCTTTTGATTTTAAGGTCAAAAGTCAAAGTCTTAAATAAAAAAAAATATTTTACATTTTCGTTTCCAAGCGTTTTTTCGAGAAGCCTTTATCAGTGTCGTAAATTTATATATTCGTGTGTGTAGAAACTTTTTATATTCGGGCGATATCTCAAGAAGGCTTTGAGTTTTGGCAATTTAGATTTATACCATAACTTTTGATGACCCCACCCGCCTTTCTTTAAGTGCCTTCCCTCGAACCCTCCCTAGATCCGGGCATGCTCTTCTTTTCTCCTTAATCGGGGCCACAAATTCTCTGAATAAGTATCGTCAAAATCTTGTTTGAATACGTTCAACAAAGAAGATATGGACACTTTACTAAGATTTTCTTAAAATTTGCTATACCTACAATTAATCATTCATAAATTTTTAAGGCACTCATTCTTTAAAGCTGTATATATACAAGTTGTGTTTTCGTTTATGTGCACATCTATACTTTGTTGATGCATAAGTGAAACTCGAGTTACATTTTTCAAGAAAATATTTTACTCATGAGTACTTAAAGAAATTTCTTGTGTTCATATTACGAATAATATGTAATAATTACCGGTACGTGTGTATATCTAATTGTATATTATTTTCGTTCTGAAGACAATAAAGGAAATGACCAGCCACCCGCAGTTATAAACGGTAAATATACATTTACTACTAACTCTTCAATTGAATTCCTGTGTGAATTCACACAAAACAGTGTTTATTTTTTCCGTGTATAAAAAGTTGAGATACATGTATTAGATAATTTGCATATTCTGATTAAGAATAAAAAATACATGTAGATATTTGAAATATATTTAAACATAAGACATACAATTTTCTTTTAAGGACCAGTAGATGGGAAATGGACTTACTGGGATTCGTGGTCAGATTGCACTGTTACATGCAGCGGGGGAACACAAAGGCGCACCCGTAGCTGTACTTCTCCCCCACCTATGTTTGGAGGGAAGTCCTGTGTAGGAAATTCAGAAGAAATCAGACAATGCTCAACTTGGAATTGTCCAGGTAAGTATGGAGGGCCAAAACTTTTCAAAACTTTTCTAAACAAACTACTAAAAATAAGAATCACTGTTTTGATTTTTTTATACTGAAAGTCACATTCTTTAAAAGGCCTTGCGTCCTGCTCAGAGCAGGTGAAACATTCTTTTTTATTTTCAGGATGTTGGTTTTATTTTTCAAAATAGGATAGAAATCATGACTTTTGAGGTATTCAATAGATGTTTAATTTTGCTTATTTTTCATGAATATGAAATCCTTAATTTCTTTGTTTTGCGGAGATTCTATTTGAAAAAAAGATCTTATTTTGAAAAAAAGTTAAAAAAAAGAATAGAATCACAGATTTCAGTACCTCATCTTTTCCTATAACAGGAATAGGACTATTCATAGGAGTAACTAGTTATTATGAATTATTCAATCAACAATACATCCATTTAATGGTAATTAAACAGATGTTCGATAAAAAAGTTATATTGTTATTCTAAACATTTTTTTGTCCTGTTGCACGAAAGATACAGAGCTTAAAAAAAAAATATAAATTGCCATTACTTGCATGTTCTAGACTAGTCATTCAAATAATTATTTTACTTCTTTTTCTGAAGAAATTTACAGATTTTAAATTTACCAAAAACTCATCTTTAGCTGGTATTTTCCCTACTTTTTCTAAAGTATTTCTTTCTCTGAACTGGCTTAAATTGCAACGTGCTACCGTTACAGGCAACACAATTCACAGGAGTTCTGGTTGGTAAAAGGGCAAATAAAGCAGAATTCCCTTTCACTCAAAATAATTCAATTTTAAAACTCTATTCAATTTGTGAATATATAATTTTCAGATTATTTTAAGGTTCATAATCTATACAGGCAACTAAGCCACATATGATTCTCATATGAGAATCATATGATTCTCATATGATTGTTTCATATGAGAATCATAGAAAAAGGGCATCATATGTGAATCATATGAAGCAAATCATATGATTTACATATGATCCACATATGTGAATCATATGAAAATAACTACATATGATTTTCATATGAATGATTTAAGTGTGTTTCAAGCCATTTACATATGAGAATCATATGAAAATGGCATCATATGTAAATCATATGAAACACGTATGTGTGATTCAAGCCATTTACATATGAGAATCATATCAAAAGGGCATCATATGTATTCATATGAAACACTTATGTGTGTTCTCTTTCAATATTTTTCACATTCTTGTACACATTTAAAATTCTGATATTTATGCTTTAGATGAAAATTCATGACATTACAATAATCTATCTTCATTGGTTAAATATTTTTAAATATCTTATTATGCTTACACAACTTTATTGATAAAATTATTTTCATGAAGAGAAATAACTTATTTTTCACAGTGTACATTCTAAACAAGAAAAGATACAAACAAGTCAGTAGAATTTGTCGATACATGTATTTAACATACTTTAAAATGAGTACAAATTATATGATTCAGCAAAAGGATTAAGTAGTTAAACATGTATACATTTACAAATGAATATGATAATAAGGTCATGTACTTGTATAAAAATACCATATGACATGAAAGTGTCCACAGCAAAATTGAAATATCAGCAATAACATTTGTCATGTATTCTCTATTGTAAATTTATGAAAAATCAAGTTATTTGATATTCCAGCATACAAATAAGAATGGGAAATCTTTACAGGTCAAATTCAGACGAGATTGCATACATCCTCCCAATTTCATAATTATTCCATATATTTTCTTTCTTTTCCTTCTGTATCTTTCAATTTTTTCAGTTGTCCTCCCTCTGATCTACCATGACCATTTTGAACTCTCTTTGAACTGTACCAAAAATGCAAATCCACCAGTTCTCCCCTTCCTGAACAATTTCTTTGTGGCACAGAATGGTCTCTACAAAAATTTCAAAAATAAAAATAAAATAATTCTTAAATTATTACAAAATCAATTCTACAAGTTATATTACAGTAACTTATCATTAGCAAACAAATGTATTCCCAATTCACTGACACAGATATGATACGAGATCAAACTAATGTTAAATATTTTATACTAGGTGTTTTGTGAAATCCAATGATGTAATTTGCAAGACACTGTTGGAAGATATGCTTCATAATAAAATTATAAAAAGAATTTTTTTTTTTTTTTTTTTGACAATTGAATCGAATTTTGCAAGACAACTACACTATTGGAAGATATGCTTCATATTAAAATCATCAAAAGCAAATAGTATTATTCATGTATTAATTCAAATTGCCAAAAATTAAGAAGATTCTGACACAAATATATTACTTTTGGACAAAACAAGTACAGACAAGTAGATATAGGCAAAAAACAGACTTTGTGATTCCCGGGTATCCCAAACTTTGTTGGGAAGAGTATGTATAACACAGTCTATTAAACACTAAACAGTGTGTATTTACCTCAACTTTGAAGCAAGCCTTGGATCTTTGGATTTTTTCCCTATGAAAGGCTGACTGTATATTGAACCTGTAAAACAAATATTCGCACAGTAGATATTTTCTAAGCATTTATAACTAAAACTTAAACAACAAAAAAAGAGAGAGTACAAGTTTGTAGGTTAAATATCTTACATTTTGCCTGAAACTAAGTTCTCTATAGTGTTGGAATTTTTTTTTTATAAATGTCAGTCAATGAATACATAGACGTAAATATTTAATGGATTAGCTGTCTGATGTACTTTCAACACATACACATGTATTTGTACCTTGAAAGTTGCTACTGTTATATTATTAATTTTTTGCTAAAAAAATTCAATTTACCCCCTGAAGTTATTGTACAGTTTCATAGCTTTTAAAGCCAGCAAATTTTATTCATACTTACCATATTTTATAAGTGCATTGGATTAAAAAAAATTTCATATTATGTAGAATAAAACTTCTCTATCATTGAGTTGAAATTATTTAATTTTGATGAAGCCGTGCAAACAATGTAGAATTATAAAGGAACAAAAAGAAATTATCAAGAAATATTTTGTCATAAAGGAGTCATTACAGATACACACTTTGATTTTTTATTGCAAGTCTTTTTTTTTACCTTTAATATTGTGATGATGCAATCGTCTGTCAAAATCGGCTTTGGATCAATCGCCAGTCTTATCAGCTTTGGGCTTCTTGGACTTAAAGCTATCGTGCAAAGTCTTAAACCTATTATACGCAACGAGCAAAGCGGTGTCCGCCATATTTCTCTACTCTGCGATAGTTACATGAATTCCAAATATATGTGATCAATCGCGGTCACGGGCTATTTCACACGCTTACAGAAGGCCTAGTGTGTACACTAAACCCCCCCCCCCCCCATACACGTCAAACTTGTACTGTCTGCCGCTAATTTTTAGAAAATAAATACTTTATGATGAGAGGAAATAATTACAAAAAATATTTTTCACAAAATAAGTACGTAAATAAAAAATTAGAAAAAAGTAAAATGTTAGTCATATGAAAGTAAAAGATTTCCGCTAAAATCTATGCAAAAGCTTTTTACATTGCTTACCAGATGCCGACAGTACAAGCTTGATCAGTTGAACGAAAAGTCAAACAAAAATTATAAAAGTTTAGCAATATTTATCCAAAGATTTGCCTTTCGCATACTCCATTAGTGCACACACCCTGTCCCGGTAAACAAAACTGATATTTCAAACCGGACCGTCCAGTTTTCTATAAATAGGATCTACTCATACTTCGGTGTTTTCTAGGGACCTGTTATTATTTTATCCTGCGTTTTTGAATGTCATACAATCTACAATATATATCTGTAAACTGGTGGTCTTTTTCGACACAACCCAAACAATTGTACACACTTTAGACGCAAATCCACGTTAGGGTAACAAAAATGTTTTTTTTTAAACTAAAATACTATAAATAGAATAAAAAGCAAACATACCAAATGCTCAAGGAAAAAAGAAATCTGCATGCTTATGAAATTTTATATTCATTCTATGATTTGAAAAGCAAATCAATTATTTGCCTACACTGGTTATACAGTAAATCAAATTCTTCATCAGGAAGAGGAGGTGGAAATTTACTAAGGAAACATGTAATACATACAAATAAATATTTTGATATATACTATCAGTGATTTATATTCTGTAATTACCGAGTATTTTCCTGCGAATACCTTCCATTCTACTTCGGTACGGAAGATAACATTTTAAGACCTACATCAATGGAAACAAAAATGCTTTGGTTTCTCAAATTCTTGCATTAATAAATAAAACAAATATCAAAATGTAAAGAGACCCCCCCTCTTTTTTTCTCTCTCTCTCTCTCAGTTTCGCCCCTATTTATAAGAAGTTAGGTGGTCTAAAACAGTAATAGGGGAATACCAGGCCAAAGACCAACAGTGCTAAACGTTGAAAAACAATAAGTGGATATTTATTGTGCACAAAAAATGGTTTGCTTTTGTTTTGTTTTTGTTTTTTTTATTTTTGTTTTCTTACATAATCTAAATTTTACACCATTCACAACAGAACTGCATGTGCAAGTCATGCATCAACCTAATTATGACAGTATACAGGGGCGAATCCAGCCATTTTTGAAAGGGGGGTTCCAGGGTTGTGCCCCTCAACCCCCCTCCCCCCTTAAGGAAAGATTCACACACATTTGGAAGGATTTAATGTTGTGGTAATAATAATTTTATTTTAAGTCCATTTTTTCTTTGAAAAGGTACTGTACCCCAGTTCAAATAAAAAAAAACCAAACACATTTTAAAAACTACCGATGCCTTAAAATTGAATGGATTTGCAGCATTTCCGAAGAGTACAAAGAATTTATTTTCTTTTTAGAATTTTAAAAACTTTTTTGGGGTGGGGTAGAGGTGGGTTTAGCAAGGAGTTACAAGTTAGTCCCTTCAAAAGATATATAATCAAAAACGGTACATACATGCATATAGCCAACACAGCCACAGATCGCGGGAATCTAATTTCAAATTAAACCTCGCATGTTACATATCCAATATAATATATACAGATATATAAAAATAAGTAGAATATTTTCTACCATTCTCTCATAAAAAAGTAATGGTGAAGGTGAATGGAGGAAACTAAATTGTGAGAATCTATCTATTCAATACATACATGTAAAGTTAGACTACAAACATTTATTCTCGGAAAACGCTTTACCCCTTCTCTCTTTCTTTCTCCCTCTCTCCACTTGGCAAAAAAATAATGGGGGAGGGGGTTCCAACCCCCGGACCCCCTCTCTCTGGATCAGCCAATGAGTATAATTACATGTAAATGTTACCCAATTTTCGATGGACTCAATATATCAGGCCCAGAAGGGCTATAAACAACAGTTTGGGGAATTGTTCGTTGTGGGCGTAGTAAATGTGCTAGGAGAACACGGTTAGGAAATTGTTTAGGTGGTAGCATAGTTTATATAACGGAGAAATAAATGGAAAAAGTGCGTTTTTTGTGCACAGTAAGCTTCCTGGACGGACATTCTTATTTTTTCAGCTGCATTCCAGCGAGCTACAGATCGTAGCTAATATATATACCGGTTAAGATGTTTGAGACACAACTTGACATAACATTATGTTCGGAAAAAGCAAAGATTCTTTTTTTCTTTTTTATTCTAAGAGACAACATAAATCTAGATAGGAAATAAAATATTGCATTTTTATGTAAAAGGGGGGGGGGGGGTTGGGGAAACAGTGAATTGAAAAGTTTCCGTGAAAATGTACACAATGACTTATATAATTTTTTCAAAATTCTACACCTATTTTTCTTCTGACCGGCAAGAACGTGGATCAGTTCATTTGTACGCAAAATTGTACATAAATAGCTCATTTCCATTAATATTGTAATTTCATTTTCCTGGGTTCAGAATACATTGTATATTATTTCACGCTACAAAGTTTTTAAAACTGATGACTTAAATATTTGAACACCCTCTAATTTTTGGATGACAGTTTATGCATGACAATTTAAATCGTTTACTGATAATTTTTTTTCACAAAACCCTTCTCATTTAAGACTTGAAAGAAAATAAGTTTTTATATAAAAATTCTTGAAAATGTACACAAGAACATGCACATTTTAAAATATATTTAATTATATACAAATTTCTACAGCCTAGGGTTTCCGATTTCTGACCGGCAAGTTTCAAAGTGACATAGTTCAACCCAGGTTCAAACTTTAAAACTGTATATAAGTACTTCTCATTTCTATTAATATTATAATTTCATTTTCCTGGGTTCAGAATTACATTGTATAATTATTTACGCTACATTTGTTTTTAAAACTGATGACTTGCTATATATTTGATACACCCTCTATAAACCGCTTTTGATATTGATGCAGGTTATGCATTAGAAAAGTCCATGCCCATGGACAATTAAAATCGTTTACTGATACTTTTTACCAAATAACAAATAAGCCCGAGTTGCCACGAGCAGAAAACCCCTTCTTATTTAAGACTTGGAAGAAAATTAATATCTTATTTTATATAAAAATTCTTGAATAGGTAGATTTGATATACACAAGAACATGCACATTTTAAAATCACTTTTATTATATACACATGTCATCTCCGCTAGCCTAGGGTTTCCGATCCGAAAGCTACTCTACTTGCTTTCGGATTGGAAGCCCTTGGCTTAAGATGAAAATATTCACTCAAATCCCAGGTTCAAACTTTTACGGAAAATGATTTCTACCAACTGTATTGTTCTTATGTTATATTTAGCATTTAAACCCCCCCCCCCCTTTTCAGGAATAATATTGTTGGCGAGGAATTTATAAACAAATAAACATAACTGCAGATAAAATGGGTCATTCTAAACCCGAATTCTACGTTATCGAAAAAATTAAATTCTGCATCATTGTCTAAGGTTAAAATTTCGTTTATAGTTCTGATTTCCATATCCGATGTTTTATCATTGTATTCCCTTTTATGTCAAGGGAAAGTTTATTCCATATCTGCATAAGCCTTGGAATGGACAGGGGGACAAGGGGTTTTAGCCCCCCCCCCCCCCATTTTTGCAAATACAGGCATAATATAGGGATGGGATATTACTGAAGTTTACCTTTTTTTGTTTGTTTAACCACCCCCCCCCCATTTCAATTTGCTTAGGACCCCTGTGTCCTGTATTCATGCATGAATATTGTGTACGTTTGAGAGAGAGAGAGAGAGAAAGAAAGAGAAGAAGAAGAAAAAGAAAATATTTGGTTATAAAATATATTAACTTTTATAAAGAATATACAGTTCAAAATGTTTCATTCAATATATTTAGAGTATTTTTATCTGGGTAATATTTTCCCAGATAATAACTGATCCCCGAACGGTCAACGAGGTATGAAGAGATCGTTACTATTTTTAGAAAACTGGACTGGCCGGTTTCACAGATAACTGTTGTTTTCATGTCGCAGGGCGTATACAGGATGTGTTGATGTAGGCGCTGAAAGAAAACTTGGGAAAGAATTTCAATACTTTTACTTTTATAACTCTTGTTTTTACTTATCGCATGATCCATGATCAAGCTTGTACTGTCTTGCGTCTGGTAAGCATTGTAATACGTTGTTTTAGAAATGTATTTTTCATAAGCAAAAATTCACGTGCTTGTAAAATTGTAACATTGATTTTTTATGAATTTATTATTTATTATCATTATTATTTTTAATGCATTCAAAAATTTGTATTGTATTAGTTTCTGAAACTTAGCGGAAGACAGTACAAGTTTGACATATTTTGGGGGGTTTAGTGTACACACTAGGCCTTCTGTGAGCGTGTGCAATAGCCCGTGACCGCGATTGATCACATATATTTGGAATTGTAACTATCGCAGAGTAGAGAAATATGGCGGACACCGCTTTGCTCGTTGCGTATAATAGGTTTAAGACTTTGCACGATAGCTTTAATAAAAAAGCAGCACTTTGACACTGAACTCAAGTTGTTGAACATGTTGAATGCATCTATATGAAAGTAAGAAAGAATCGACTTGATACCGATCTCAACATGCAAGAACGACAAACTGCTATATAAGGTTTTCTACTTTCACTTTCAAATCAGTACGTAACAAAAAGTCAAAACAAAAAAGAAAACAAAGTAATGCCTTTAGGCTAACATGTAGGCCTACATTGTAATGTTTACATCCATTCAGAAACAAATTTATCCAAATTTACTTACAGATTACTAACGTTATGTAGGTTTACGAAATGCATTAATTTAACAATTACAAGTAATGAGAGTGCTATAGTAATAAGTTTATACAACCTGTACCGTAATGAAAGGATATTTAAATTTTTTCCAACACCCAGCACTTCTGCTGCAGCAGTGACGTCAAACACGACGTACAATTTCATCCGATAGAAGTCAAAACCGGTCTGGGAAAAATACGGTTTACTGAAGTAATAAACCAAACCCAAAAGATTTGAAATAAAAAGAAATTAATTTTTTATTGATCAATTTTGTCCCGGATATGCATTTTTACAGAAAAAGAAAATTGTGAAAGTTTTTTTTTATAAGGGAAAAAGGGGAGGGGGTGTTAAACAGAGTAGAACTTTAAGTGATATTGCTGACAAATTCTTTTGAATTGATCTACATTTAAATTACTATTGAGATATATTATTAAAATTGTAATTTTACTTAAGTATACCAAGGGCAAATTAGTGAACACTGTTTCATATGATTCTCATATGACCACTGTTTCATGTGATTCTCATATGATCTCTGTCAAAATAATCGTATGATTTTTACCTGAGTATAACAAGGACAAAGTAGTGAATATGGTTTCATATGATTCTCATATGATCAGTTTCATATGATTCTCATATGATCACTGCCAAAATGATTCTCTTATGTAGAACCTTTCATATGAGAATCATATGTATATTACTTCATATGATTAACATATGTATGATCATATGATTCTCATATGATTAGCCACATATTATTCTTATATGATTGTATATACGAGGGTTGATCCAAAAGCAATGTCACAGTGTCCATATCTTTTATATTTGGCGCCATATTATCTAATATTATATACCAGAAGATGCACAAATAGAAATCTAATTAAAATTGAAATTTTGATTCAATAATGTTTAACTGAATTTATTTTATAGGTATTTAAAACATAGAACATAGGGGGTGCCACCGCGTCACAACCGAAGGTCACAAATTAAAGTGTACTTTTTTAGAATAAAAAAGACAAACACATTAAAAAGCATATTTTAATTAGTTTAAGTTTAGTTTAGTTTAAGAAGTATTTTATTCATAATATACAAAGAGTACAATGTGAATATGGATTGAAGCATATTTTAAAAGCGACGAATCAAAAAATATTTTTAAAGACAAAACTTTACATCATTTTCTGGTTTTAAGTTGAATATTATGACTTAATTGCTATTTTTAAAAAAAAAAAAAAAAAAAAAACATCATTGTTTTACTCCGGTGCATTGAAAAAGGGAAATGTCGAAATGGACAAAAAAGCCAAAACAAATAGTAATGCATTTTGCTTCAAAATGGAGAAATCCCCAGTAGAGACGGTTACGTTGATTCACAAGACTCATATCACAGAGGAAAGAATATAAATACTTGTTTAGATGGTTTCAGCGATTTCGGGTAGGCAATGAGTCATTGAATGCTCAACAGATGACAAAAAAAACCGAAAGATGGGAGGACGGACGGAAACGTTCTTTGGTGTGTGACGTTGTCAAAAAAGACAGGTGGTTAGAGCAATATGTGAAATTTTAAGTTTGTCTTATACTACTGTTCAAATAATTTTGACAGAAGAATTAATTATGGAAAGAGTGAGTTTACGATGGGTACCAATTAAGGTTACTTTAAGAAAGTGAAATTTGTGAACGTGTTCGTGGATCGCAAATATGCTTTTAATGAAACGAAGGGAAGTGTCTAAATGTGCATGACGGCACGTATCCGTCATATAACGTTATTTAGGTGCGGCGACTACCATAATCGCACGTTGTATAAAATCCGATATTTTGAAAAGTATGAATCATGTTGAATTGAAATTTTTAGGTCTGATTTGAAATAAATGAAGATTTCATCATTAATAATTTTACTGTTTTACGTAGACGGGTAGGGATTTTATCGATGTTGTGACATTGCTTTTGGATTAACCCTCGTACATATGATTCTCATATGATCCACATATGATCTTCATATGAAAGGCATTGCATATGTGGATCATATGTGACTAAATTGCCTATGTATGGCTGTCCATTATTCCCGAGACACGTCAAAAATAAAATTTATGAAGTACTAGTATATGAACGCCACCATAAATTCATTTAAAAAAAATCTCACATAAAGTTATTTCGAACTCCTTTCTACACATGAGAAAAAAGAGCTCATTTTTGTCTGCAGGTTACTATTACCTTTTCACATAAAGGTATGATAATAAGAATTAATTTACATATCATTACAGACTTAATAATCATCATTTTATTACCATAGTTAAAAAAAGACTTTAAAGTAAGTCACTGCACCATGCTAAAATAATGGAAGGCATGTGCCGGAAAAAGTTCACAGAACATTTTCTTCAAGAACTCTGTGAAGCTTATTGAGGAGAAAAAAAGAAATATTTTATTGAATTTTGATAAGAAAGAAAAATAAGTATAATTTTACAGAATAATTTCAGATTGTGCCAGGACGTGTCCTAATGGCGGAAGCCTCAGTCATAACTGTGAAATATGTGAATGCCCTTCATCAACGATCATTGGCAGGGTGACGGACCGCACCAACTTTACACTTGAAGGGGTTGAAATATTCTTGTCCTACCGTCCATGGAGTCCTATTGCTACAACAAATGTTCGTGGTGTATACACTGTATCAAATATATGTTTCAACTCTACTTCCATCTTTGCAAAGAAAGGTGGTTTTTCAATAGTATATGTTACTCCAAGGAGACTGAATGCGACTCACTGGGAAGCAAATTTTGAAATAAGAAAATTAGGTTTGTATTTTTATGTATTATACTTGTGCATGCAAAGGAGATAACCTTATCTAATGAGAATCAAGTTGGAAAAGTGAAGAAAAAATTAAAAGGATGCCATCTTAAAATTCTCAAAAAATGCTCGAAAATTCAGAAAAGAGGAACAAATTTTCTCCGTGTTCTCTTATTTTTAAATGTTGGAAATAATGAGAAAAAGACGTGACAAGTTTGAAAATATTCATTTCCGGAATACAACTGTGAAATCTCCATTTTCAAGTTCCTCTAATGATACTTAAAACATTTTCCCTTATTTATCTGTAGGTCAAGGCATTTTCATCAAAGTAAGATTATCCTGTGATATGCAAATTTATTGATTTTAACTTTTTACGTATGAATGTGAAAATTGGTCACATTTTAAGTAATTATATGTATTGTATTTTAAAAGAGTCGAACTTTATTTTTAAATAAACTTGGATCTCTGTAAAGATTTAATTGTGTACCGGAATGCCGTTATGAAGGCATTGCATTGAATATTTTGTTGCTCACTTTTGTAAGCATAAACATTTCATCTTCAGAAAAACCTTGGATTTCCCGAAAGCCTGTTCCCAAAATCCGATTTGTTGGACAATCAGCCACGTTTTGCTGTCAGGCAAACGGTTTCCCCTTACCCCAAGACTTTTTATGGTGCACTTTTTTGATGAGATTTTGTCTGTAAAGAAACTTTTTGAATTAATTCTAAGAATTATTGAAAGTGCAGAAATTTTGGAAAAATCTTTATCTAAATTTAGGTTCAAAGATGATAACTTATTGCCAGGAATGGGAACAAATGGAAATTTGGTTGTTAGTTCCATTCAGAAATCAGACGCTGGGGCATACTATTGTAAGGCTACCACGGAAGCAGGATCAGTAACATCTGAACGCGTAACCTTAGATGTAAGAGGTATGAACTTGTATGATTTACACGTTTTCAACAAATTTTGATTTAATAAAAATAATTTGATAATTGATTTTCTCAGCGCAGTATTTGCAGAAAAGAAGTTTTTACCAATTGCGAACTAAAATTTCTCTTCGCCTAACACGTGAATTGGAATTTGGATTAAGTATTCATAATAATTATTAAAAAGAAAAAACAATATGCTTTTATTGGTTTCTAGAAGTGAAAACAATATTGGTGACGGAAAAGACAAGAGAGAAATTGCATTTTAAACAAGGAAAAAAATGTAATTTTCCTTAAACAAATAACAAAGAACTCTTTCAATAGAATTTGTCCCTGTATTTTTTTTTTGTCTAAAATTTAGAAGTGATGTAAAAAATTAAAATTCATCCTCTCTCAATTCTTGAAATTACATGTGGTTAAACATGCAAACGTTTCTCCAATATGACTTCCTAAACTTTAATTGTGACGTCATGAACGTGTGCATATTCCAGTACATGTACTTTCTTTTAAAGTTACAGAAGACATCAATTTCAGTTGAATTTTCTTTCAAGAAACATACTGCGAATGCATCCCTACAAAGACTTTGAGATATGTGATTTTTCAGAGCATTTTAGACAATATATCCAAAAGTTTAAGTAGGCGAGGGCTGCGGACACTGTTTTCTTAAAGAAAATGACAACATGAGTCAATTTCTGCTAAAAACTTAGAAATGATCAAATTATGGATGTCATTTTTCCAGAATGACCATCTTTCATGCTAAATGTTTTAACGATTTATCATATTCATCTACTTAACTCATGTTTTAGCCAATTTCATAACTTTTTAAGAACATTGATTTTAGGGCACAAGAAAGACCAAATCACACCTTCGTCAATAAAATTTATTTTGTCCTAAGTGTAAGAACAGCATTAAAACATCTTTTTAGATACCTCTGATGATACCTGCAATCCAGTACCTACAGTGAACGAAGAAACTCTACCAACTGGTTGCTATTTTAATGATAACGGCAACAGAAAATCTGTAGTTAACGTCGGAAAATGTCCAAATAGTAAATGCATTACAAATACGCTTGCTGACAACGGTACATGCGAAGATTGGTGGCCTTCTCACTGCTGTGATGTATCCCAAACAGAGACAATTGAAATAGAATGCTCTGGAGGGTTTACCTATCCGATCACGAAAGTTATTTCTTGCAAATGTCGCGAAAACGTGATAAACACTCTTTTAAATGGAATAGCGTATGGTGTACAAAACGGTACTAGAATTCCTTTTGTCCGAGGAGAAGTCATGATAGACGGCCAAGTGAAATCTGTAACTTCAGCGACAGGATACTTTTCTGTTAATATAGTAGGAGAGGTTTCTCGTGTTGTATTGAACTTGCGTAATGATAGATCTGGCCAACTCTTAGATACAACAAGAGTGATAGATATTTCATATGGTACAACGACCTCCATTGATATTCACGTTCCACTAAAACCGGCACCAAAACCTTTCAACACACGTATCGGTTTTGATATACCCCTCGGAACGAAGAATGGAAACTCAGCAACTACGACGTTATCCATTGCAGAAGATAGTGTTGTTGATGGAAATGGCAATGCTTTTGAAGGGACAGCTAATGCACGAGTTCATTACGTTGATCCACGGAATTTGGAAGATCTTGATGAGATGTACGGAGAGCTAAGATTTACAGACGAAGAGGGAGAGTCTATTGACTTAGAAACATTTGGTATGCTTCAGTTATCCGTAGAAGACAATTCTGGAACACCTTTATATGTCAATGGAAAAATCAAAATTTCGCTTGATCCAGCACCTTTTAATTTGTCAAACGAAGGTGCAAATCTGCATTTGTATAGCTTAGACGTAAACACAGGAAAGTGGGTTGATCAAGGTCTAATGGCGTACAATTCTTCCAGTGGTTCAAATCGTAAACGAAGGTCAACTGGAGGAAATCTAGAGGGTATTGTCATAGATGCTATTCCAGTTATAAAACAAACAGAGGAAGTTGATAAAATTATTCAAGTAAGCAATACCAGATTAGTATCTTCTATCAATATAAACAAAGATAGACCTCGAATATATCGTATTATAACTGAATATGGGACTGTTGTTACTCGTGAGGATGTCACATTACAAGATGCTTGCTTTGTAAGAGTGAAGGCGTACACTGACTTTACATTTCGCAATGTAGCTAGTGGTGTTCGAATTACAGCAGCGACAAGAACTAAAAATGGTGGGCCGTTTAGGGGACAAATGTCAATGTTTACGAACATTAATGATAATAATGGGACTTTATGCATGCCAATATTTTGTAGCTCTGATATATACCTCATGGCAGAAAAAAATGGCAAATATTACGCTTCAGACAATCATATTTTACCCCCCGTAGCTGAGTCAGTCAACATTGCAAACGGAACACAAGTCAAACTAAATTCAGATCATGTCAACGAAGAAGGACCAGTTTTCCTTTATCAAAGACGACGACAATGCGAAGATGACACATTTTCTAGCTTTGTGTTTCAGTTTGCCCCTCTCTTGAAGGAAGGTGAACGTAAGTCATTGTCTAAAGATAACGTACATAATCAAATAAATTCCTGGTATACCGAACCTCCAACTAGTGCCTTCAGACGAACATGTTTCATGAAAGTGAAGGTAGTGGTAAGTATTTTTTCTTATTGTTTATTGTATGCAATAACAATTTACTCAGGAAAATAAAAATAATCCTCTTAAACCGTTTCAACTAAAAAAATAATGTGTATTTATAGTAATAATTTAAAGATTTTCTATTTCTATAAAATATTTAAACAGAATCATATCTCTTTTAGTCCAATGAACATACTCTCCAGGCAATAGGAGTCAGTAAGATGGAATATGTTAGCAATATACCCTTTTTTGGAACTTTTCAAGCACCAATTATATGGGATGAAACTACAAATAATAGGAGAGAAAAAGCTGCTTGCATAGAATTTCGATGTCCTGGAAGACTCATTGATGGCACCAACGTAATCAATAACATAGCCACACTTCTGAGGGTACAGATTCTGAGTCAAGAAGGTCACGTTTGCAATATTACGTAAGATTTTACTTTATTTCAATTATACATGTTATATCAACATTGTGATTAGAAATCTTATAATAAATCCTATAAACTTATTTTTTTCAGAAACGTGGCAAGTGGACTTAATATTACTCGTATTCCAAGCGTACTTGGTGAAGGTTTTGAGTTTCGGGCAGACCCAAACGACAATTACGGCGCAGGAATGGGTGTATTCATCCGAACGTTTCCATTTGAAACTGCAAGAGCTACATGTCGCACTGGCTTAGACTCGCCTAATATTAGCCCAATTATGAAGCCCAATTCAAATCCAGCAGTCGAATTTGAATGCTTTATCTAACAAAGATTTACAATCATTGCTTTTATGATTTTCTTTCATAATGTATTTTTAATCACTTTTCATGAATAGGGTTTCTAATTTGATCTTTTGATTTGTAATTATTTTAGCAATTTTTGTGACCAAATCAAAAGACTCAATATAACACATAGACAAAATTATATATATATATATATATATATATATATATATATATATATATATATATATATATATATATATATATATATATATATATATATATATGTCTTAAAGATCGTTCAATATGCTGCTACTTTTATGTACATGTTTTTTATGTTTGTAAACTAGTAAAATGTGTATTGAAAATAATCAAGTAAAATTTCCACCAACAATACCTTATTAATTTAATGATACTCTGAAAATAATTTAATTTAAGAAATTTTAATTGAGAAATAAATCAAAAGAAGATGTTATGCCTTCTCTTTCCCATTAAGTTTTTCAAAAAAAAAAAAAAAAAAAAAAAAAAAACTTATGAGTGTTTTAATTCCCTCCTCAGGTACATTTGTATGTTATTGCAATTCCAACTTCCGGGTTCATTACATAATTGCTTTCCAGTGCATTCTTCCCTGTGTAGCAACTGTACTGAGCATTCATTTTCTTATCCCGATACACTCCGACATTTGGTCCATAATTACTGTCAGGGATAAAAGTTCCATTGAATGAAGAGTCTGTGGCATTTATGTTAGATTTTGTCTTTAATTCACCTGAAAGCGATCTAGAAAAAAACCCACACATTGTCTATCTCAAACACACTGAATAACATAAAAAAGTAAGGTACATGTATATGACATAGAAAATTGGAAGGTATTGTCATAATAAAATACTTGCATTAAGCTGCATGTTGAACCTGGCACTTTAGATATATCTGCAGTTAAAATGGTGGATATTTTATTGTTAGATGAGTCATACACGGGACATCTAAACTCAACGCAAGCTGCTCGTCTGCCTTGCCTGTTTCCTTTTAGTGGTGCGATGAATGTTCCAAACCAAAAACCCGTTTCCTCGCTATAACTTTTACCGATAATTCCCGTGGACACAAGATTTGTCTAAAACAAAGATAAATGTTTTCAGTAAACAACTTTGATTGAAAACACAAAACATTAATAATTTCCCGTTTTGCTAGATTTATTAGAAGAATTAAAGAAAAACATCTTCATATCAATAACTGGTATATAATTAGTATTTTTGTCCATAAAAAGTATACGAGGGGTGATCAAAAAGTTTGCGAACAAACTGATTTACTTCAATAAAACAAGTAAAAATCAGGTTTCAGTGTTCATAATTTTTTAAAGTAGCCCTCTTCGACTTTAATGCATATGTGCCGCCGTTCTGCCCATGCGAATCACGTGGTCAAGGCAGTCACATGACGTGCTCTGAAGCACTCTGTCCATAGACGCTGAAATATTTTCCCTAGTCTTATATTTCTTACCATGGAAGTATTTCTTTTTTACAACAAGAACAGTCCATTTGTCAGAAGTGACCAAATCTTTGAAATAGGATGGTTGGATAAGAATATTATTTCCCAAAGAGATTCGAGTATAATGACAATCACAACCTGATTCCTCTGTCTTAGGAACGCCGTTTATCCGATATGGATAATATTTTGTAGTATAAAGGCCTTCTTTTCATCATATTTAATGTTTCAAGTCTAAAATAAACGATGTTTATGGATTTAAAATTAATGTCATTATAAAGGTATTCAACTATTTTTCTAGCTGTAACGGTGCAATCTTTCATTGTCCAATTGTCCAACAAAGGTTACATTTCTTCTCCAGCTTGCCTTCTCTGGCTTCAAAACAAACGTCATTTTTATCCATCTCCCTCCCTTCACTTTAACAGTAAATCCAAGTTATAATTAAACGTGTGGAAAGTCTATTGTCTTCATAAACACTGTACAAATTATTACAAGATACTTCAAAGGAATTCCCAAGTTATATTTTAAACTTTAGAGTCGTATGTTGTTCGAGTAAGACTGTGACAACCATTTTTCGTCACGAGTCTCCTACATATTGACGTCATTTTCACACTGTGACGTCACATTGATGGAGAAAATCATTACTTTCATATGCTATATATAGAACGTGCATGTGTATAGGTGTTCCAAACTTCATTCCGATCTGAATTATAATTTTGTAAATATAGAGATAGTTGACGAACTTTTTTATTACCCATCGTACCCTTGTGAATCGGAATAAGAGGTACTGTGAGCAATGATACATTCTTCAATATGGTTACAGTGGCAAAGTCTTTGTTTTGCTCTGGAAGACCCGAAATCAGTGTATAATCAAAAAGTAAAATTGGAGGTACACGTACCCTTTAAGTATATTGAAAGAATGGCAGTGTCCATGTTTCTTTTGGAAACTCAAACATATTTGTCCGATCAAAAAGTAAAATAGAGGTGTGCAATGTCACTTTGTGAAGAAAAGGTCTCATAAGGTCTCATAAAATTTCATTCAGTGGTATACGATTTACGGATAAAAGATTGGTACCCCAAAGCGAAACAATCGGGTGTATGGACATACAGATAAACGGATGGACGCACGTACAGAGGGACGGACATCCCGATTTCTATACCCCCTCTTGCTTTTCAATCGGGGGGAGGGGACAAAAAGAAGCTAGACCCCACTCTTAGAGCAAACCTTTAGTAAAGCTTTGCTAAGACTCCCCAAACCGTTAAAAGATTTTAAAATATAATGATTTAATATGTACGTAATTTATCTAAATCATATACAGGGGCGTCCAGACTAAATATATGAAACATTTTTTGTGATATAACATTATTTCGTTAATAACATGTCGGCCAATCATATTTTTAGATGTTGCACATAACACTTTTTGTACATTAAATGAAGAATATATACAATCATGGAATTTGTGTATATTTCAATTTGTGTTTATAAGGACCAGTGACAAGTGATACTGGTCAAAGTCGTTATCATTGCTCTCATGATTTGGCCAATATCACCTGACACTAATTCTTTTAAAAAACTATAAATAAATGTCTTAAACGTTCATAGAAGTCCGTAGTAGTATTTTACGTATATAACAATTACATTGAATACTCAGACACATGCAATCCTAAATGAACTCGACTGTCATTACATAACAATTGTAAAACATGGGTATGATATATACTAAATCTAGTACAGCCTAACGGTGATTCGTGAAACATCATTTGGCGATTCTTTCGCGTCAATATCACAAAAGGATGAATATATCGTGACTTGCTTTCAACTTATGATAACTAGGTAAACAATCTTTTTATATGATTTATAAAGTCATTGTTTCCTTTTTTATGCATGCCAACTGATCGTCAAGTTGTGAACACAAATGTTCTATGAAAAAATCAAAGCATTACGTGTATTTGAAACATTTTATTTAAAATCTTCATTTACTGTTATAACTCTATTCAGTATCGTAATCTAAACAAGTCTATAATACATTTAAATGTTTTGGATTTTTACGATTAATTTGAAGCAACGTAATAAATCAAGTGGTTTACACACCTATAATCTAGCACTAATTAATCCCAAGACATTTAACAAAATACATTTATATATATTTCTCGTAAACACTGTAATTACGTTATTATTTCAATCGAAAATAATTAAGAGAATAATTTAAGCTCAGCTGAACAGAAGGTTCTTCAGGACTTGGGGAAGGATAAAACCACTTATATTTTTTTATTTATTTATTTATTGGTTTCTCGGTTTCTCTGACGAAAGTGCTCAGATGCTTGATCTGGCCAATGGACCTCTTGCAATTATAAATTCGGACTCGTTACAGCACTCAAATAAGAAGAAAACAATTATGAAATAATGAATTTCGAAATATTTAACAATGTGTAAATTATAGGACACTCCCCTTCAGGACAGGTCGTTTGCATTAACTCGGCGTCTTATTCCAAAATGACGTCATGAATTGCTACTTGTTGTTCCGAGAAGAGGAAGCACAAAGTCATTCTTAACTAACCTACGAAGGATTTAATACATAAACCGTTCGCAAATCACATATTCGCGTTGTGAAAATAAAAAAAAACCAAATTGTGACAATTATCTGAATTAAAAGAATATCTGTTTCAATCTTAAGTTTTACCTGTATTTGAATTTTCACAAAGCAAGCTTCTTGAATGAACGTTGGATACCAAGAAGTAAGAAAATCGTATTCTTCTGCACTAGGATTTGTTGTTAGTTTTCCCGAAAGTCCTTGAAAATTAAAAGAAAAATATTGTCGTTTTACATTCTGTTCGTCACAATTTTCATCATTTCTAAACATTGGACCATTTGTGTTGAGGAGTGCGATTTTAATTTGTTCAGAATCTAGGATGATTTCCTCTCGGTATTCTGTTACAGTATATATAAATTGTGGTGAAATATTCTGTTTTTCTTTTGGGGCAGCAAGTGCTTTTTCATCTTCAGTTTCTGCTATGATCTTTATTTTTCCATCACATGGAGCTCGGATGCAAACACTGCCTTTTTCGTCGGATTTATACATACTGTATACCACGTTTTCCCCATTTTCCGACGAAATTATGTAGACAGGTACAGAAGGAGTTGTTGCTGTAAAATGGGGGTCATTGTATACCTTGACTCCAGCAAAACAAGATGCTGAAGTATTGGAAAAATATTTTATAAGGAAATAAAATCATAAGATATAGATATAATCAAATCGTTAATGTGCATTCAAAGGAATAAAACAATCAAACCTTAAATTAAATGTACCTTGTAATCCAAAATCACAACTGAAAATAATTGTTATTATAAAAAGCATCAGCATTTTTAATATCTCTGTAGGTTTCCGGCACATCAAATATATGTGCAAAGCATACTAGTAATCTATTATAAATGTACAAAAATACTTTATTCAAGCTGTTGAATAAAAGGTAAACAGAAAACCCAACTCTCAAATCAGAAAAATCTAATATACGATGGAAACAATGTATTTGTACAACAAACTGATCATTCTCTAAATTTATTTTAGAGATAAGATTTAAACCGGTTTAATTTGAAAATAAGATGAAAA